CCACCAGCCACTCCTCGGAAGGAAGGTTGGGCAATCCTACTTCCGTAGTGATACTGCCTCGGAAACCCAAGGAGGGGTCGCTATGAGTCGGGGACAGCACATAACAACAACAACAACTTCTACTTGGGTTTTTCGTGGGTTTTTTTTTTTTTTTTTTTTTTTTCCCCTCTTAGTAATATATTTTGTGGATCTTTCTGCCTTGGCACGAGTAGAGTTGTGGTTTAATGACTTGAGTGTAGTGCCATTGAATATATGTGCCATCATTTATTTAAATTGCCTATGTATACAAGTTGAGTTTCCAGTTTTTGTTTTCTGGTGCATATGTTGCTATGAATAGCCTTTTGTCTAAATCTTTATATATACTTTCACTTGTTTGTGCAAATACTTCTTTAGGGAAGATTATTGGAAGTATAATTGTACAGTCAAAGGGATAGGTTATATCTTTGAGTTGATCCCTTCCTACACACTTGAACATCTCACATGTCCATCAGTCATGGTGTCAGGTTTTTTAACCTTTCCAGTACTGGACTCATACTTGGGCTTGCGCGGGGCCCACTTGTCCCTGTTACCAACTTCCAAACATTCAGCCTATACCAATCCTCTTCCTTCATCCTTTCCTCCCTTTTCTTCCCACTGCAGGCCCTCAAGGACAGCAAGGTGGTGGAGATAGTTGATGAGAAGGTCCGCAGAAGGGAGGAGCCTGAGAAGTGGCCTCTTCCTGGTCCCCCAATAGTGGACTATTCCCAGACTGATTTTTCCCAGCTTCTCAACTGCCCTGAATTTGTGCCTCGCCAGCACTATCAAAAGGAGACAGGTGGGTACCCAGCTGATGTGTGGATGCTTTCCTGTTGCCCTTCCTTCAGCTAATAGTCCTTCTCAGGACTAGTGGCAGAAGAACTAGAGGTATGAGGGCCTTACTTTACCACCCTTTAGAATCAGCCCCTGGCTCTCCCCGGGCAGTCACCCCAGTGCCAACCAAAACAGAAGAGGTTAGCAACCTAAAGACACTGCCCAAGGGTCTGTCTGCCAGTCTGCCTGACCTGGATTCTGAAAATTGGATTGAAGTGAAGAAGAGACCTCGTCCCTCCCCAGCACGGCCCAAGGTGGGTATAGTCTGCCCCTTTTCCTGGAATATAGGAGCCTGGGCTGGGGTGCTTGGAGGAGACTATACCTCAGCACAGTGCTCTGGGCTCTGAAGAGGTAGTAGGCAAGCCAGGTGGCTCAGGGTCATAATGTGAGCTCAGGTCTCCAGTGACTGGGAAGGTTGGTGTGACCTGTATTCTATTTTCCATGAGGACCATTTCTTAGGGTGCCCTAGCTAAGTAAGTTCTGTGTGTGTGTGTGTGTGTGTGTGTGTGTGTGTGTGTGAGTGTGAGTGATTTGGGTGAAGATTTACAGAGCAAATTCACTTTCCATACAGCAGTTCACATACACTTTGTCTCATGACATTGACCACAGTTTACCACAATGCAACAGCTCCCCTCCCACTTCCTCCCCATAGTTACCCCTTCCCAGTGTCCATCCCTCCATGCACTCCTGCCCCTGAGCTGTGTCCCTATGCACAAGCAGCCCTTCTTTCTCCCATGATTGTTCTCTCCAAGGAGTGTATCTACCTGAGGTAAATGTTCAATTCATATGCCTGACTTTTATTTGGCTGGAAACCACGGGTGTGGATTTAATTCCAGACCTGCAGGGCAGCTGGTGGCCATAGTCTCAGCAGTTCCACCAGGCTCTGTTGGACCAGCAAACTTGGTCCTCTTGCTTTTTTTTTCCTCCTAATGATTTTGAGCTAAGTAAGTTCTTGAATGGTATTTTTCATAGGAGGAAATTACGGTCTAGGGCTTTGAGACTTCAGGGATGAGCTTGGACTTTGGGGTCTGTAGAACACTAGGTTCCCTCTTCCTCTTCTCTTCCTGTTCATGTCCAGAATTCCCACCTGCTCTGGGTATAGCCCTTGAGTGTCCGAGATCATCCAGGGTCATGAGGAGGAAAGGTAGTGAGTGGAGAAAGTCCAGAACTACAGGCTACAAAGGCTTTGGAAAGGCAAAAGCCAGACTTAAAAGAGAGAAGTTTGGAGTTTATGTGGGAAACTGTGTGTAGCATAGATGCCTTTTAGATGTATGTACTGTGAGGTAAATAAAACTGCTTCTCTTCCAAAGTCTCAGCTAAATTCAGTCTATCAGCAGTTAATGAAATATTTTCATTTTGCTGAAAGTACCCTGTTCTTTCTTGCCTTTAGAACTTTGCACATGCTTATTCTGCCTAAAACACTCTTTACCTGACTTATGTGTGGTTATCGTTTAGATGACAGTTTAGTAGTCACTTCCCTAACCACCACTATCCCTTCCCTCCAGCAGGTTAAGTGCTCCACCCTATATGTTCTTTTTTTTTTTTTTTTTTTTTGTAAATTTATTTTATTTTATTGTTGGTAAGAGTACACAGCAAAACTACACCAATTCAAGTTTATACATGGACATTTCAGTGACATTGATTATATTCCTGGAGTTGTGCAACCATTGTCACCCTCCTCTTCTGAGTTATGCTTCCCACATTAACATAAACTCACTGCCCCCTAAGGTTACCATCTAATCTTTCAAGTTACTGTTGGGATTTGATCCCATATAGATAGTTCTTAAAAGAGCATAAAACTCAAGTCAGGCATTCTTTACTAGTTACTTCTTTACTAAGCTAAATTGTTCAGTTTTAAGAAGACTTCAAAGGATATTTTTGGTTTAAAGTTTAAAGATTATTATCTTAGTGGGATTGTTTCAGGGGTTCATCTAGCTTTTATGGCTCCAGAAATCTGTTTATTTATATCTTTACCATACCACATTGCAGTGGGCTGGGGGCTGGTTGTTTGACTTTCTGTCCCACTGAACTGTGAGCTCCCTGAGTACAGGGACCTTACCTTCTTCATTACTCTGTTGTTAGGTTCTTCATATAAGGCCTGGTAGTAATAGGTACTTGTTTGTACATCAAAAAGTTCAGCATCTGCTCTTGCTAGATCCCAGTCTAGGTACTGAAGATGTAATGAAAAGCAAGGCACCTGTAGTCCTTGCCTCGTGGAGCTTCCAATTTTTATTGGGAGATACTGAGCAAATGGATAAATGAATGGGTCAACCTTTTGAACTTCTGCTGTGTCCAGTTCTATGCTATGTAGGGTGTAATGGTAAGTAAGGGAGGGTACAGCCCCTAGCTGTAAGGAACTTGTCCTCTAATTGTTTGTGAATGACTTTTTTAAGCTGTGAATGGAGGAACCTGAACCTCTATGGGACATCCTTTCCCTAGTAGGATGACTCTAAGGAGGACATCTGTAATTTGCTAGTGTTGTGACCAGGACCACAGTTCTGACAGACTCCTTTTAGAGGCTGGGGTCTCCCTCTTGTATAAAAGCAACAGAGCCTGTCCCACAGACCTCCTAGTGACTTCCTCTCCCCTTGGTCCTTTACTGTTTTAGAAGTCAGAGGAACCTAGGTTTCTCCACCAGACCTCTCTGCCTCAGCAGCTACCTTCCCAGCAGCTGATATCCAAGGATCAGGATGAGCAAGAGGAACTGGATTTCTTATTTGATGAGGAGATGGAGCAGATGGATGGGCGGAAGAATACCTTCACTGCCTGGTCTGATGAGGACTCTGACTATGAGATTGATGACCGGGATGTCAACAAGATCCTTATTGTCACCCAGACACCACCTTACATGCGCCGGCACCCAGGGGGGGACCGCACAGGCAATCACACCTCACGTGCCAAGATGAGCGCTGAGCTGGCCAAGGTCATTAATGATGGTTTGTTCTACTATGAACAGGACCTGTGGACTGAGAAGTTTGAACCGGAATATTCCCAGATCAAGGTGAGGCTGGGGCATAGCCAAGAGTATGGGTCTGTGATGTATGGAAAAGGGGAAAGCTGATTGGCTCTGTGACCTTGGGCAAGTCTCTGATCCACAGCATAAGTATCCTTAGTAGGGGATAAAAGGGGAATGATAATTGACACCTTGCTGGTACATTAAGAGAGAGAAGAAATACATAAACACTTTGGAACTATAGGGAACTATGCGTGTATGAGGGGAGTTATTGTCTCATTGAGCATTCATACTTAAGGTTCTAGCAGTTGGTGACACTTGTGTAGGAAATACGAGTTAGATGGTCATTTCTGTTCTTAAATATTTAGGCATATATCAGTATTTTAAAGCTTTTAAGGACCTTTCTTTGCATTTGAAAGAGAGAAAAGAGAGCTCTTTTTAAAAATGGCTGCTGCCGTAAAACAGTCAAGACATCTCTGTCCTAGGGTTTCGCAGAGTAGATATGTTTGGTGGTGGGTATTATTTGGTCCTGTGTAGTAACTGTGTTTGGTGGAGCTGAGGAGAGAGTTGTGCCACCACTAAGTAAGAAGACAGTGGCAGAAAGAGACTTGGGGAGGTGATGGAGCTTCTTGGAGAGTCTTCAGTGAGTTCCTGAGAAGCCAGTGGCAACGTGATAAACAGTCTTATTGCAGAGAGTGCAGGACAAGTACTGGCCTCTTCAGGCTTAGCACAGTTGTGCCTGGGTAACTGGGGTTGAGGAATGGTGATGGGGCAACTTAAGAGCCTGGGGATCAGAATTCCATGTGTGTGGACGTGGGAGCTCCAGCTTCCTGCAAGGCCTGATTCCCGAACAGGCTAGGGCAGTCTTAATAACATCTTTCCCCACCCTTCTTACATCCTCTGTAGCAAGAAGTTGAGAACTTCAAGAAAGTCAACATGATCAGTCGGGAGCAGTTTGACACTCTGACCCCTGAACCCCCTGTGGATCCCAACCAGGAGGTCCCTCCTGGGCCACCTCGGTTCCAGCAAGGTGAGGGGCGGAAACCTGGGACCTTGGCTTGGTGGGAGGATCTGGAACCCTCCAACTTAGGGGCCTTCCAGGAATAAATAGATCATCATTGGTCTGCCCTTGACCCTCTCTGCCTCTGTAGTTCCCACTGATGCCCTGGCCAACAAGTTGTTTGGTGCTCCTGAGCCCTCCACAATCGCCCGCTCTCTACCAACCACTGTCCCAGAGTCGCCAAACTACCGTAATGCCAGGACTCCCCGGACCCCCCGCACACCACAGCTCAAAGACTCAAGCCAGACATCAAGGTTTTACCCAGTGGTGAAGGAAGGACGGACAATAGATGCCAAGGTGAGACACTCCTGCTGGGCTGCTCAGAGTCTTGGGGACCACTTCACTGCATTTCAGCACTTGGCTTCTCTACCTTGCCTTGTCTGAACCAAGAAAGTGCCACATTCCCTATCTGCTCTGTGTTCTTAGGCTAGTGGCCTCACCTGAGATGGAGTCATCATATTTGCAAAAACAGACAGGGTGTGGGTGTGGGCATGGTGATCTCATGTAACCATCATAGGACCGAAGGAGTACTGACCAGATGTAAGACCTTAGACAAATCACTTTACTCTCAAGCCTTATCGTCCTCATCTGTGAAATAGGCATACAAGTTCCTAGTTCACAGTTGTGAAACTTAGTAGATGTGAAAATGAAAATGTTTTGTAAATTTGAGGTACCAAGTACATATGAGGGGATCTTAGTCCTTGAAGTGCTTGTTGCTCCTCAGTTGTAGGAGGCACCATTAATGACAAATCCTGGACTGACCTTTGCAGATGCCTCGGAAAAGGAAGACAAGACACAGCTCAAACCCACCCTTGGAGAGTCATGTGGGCTGGGTGATGGATTCTCGTGAGCACAGACCTAGGACTGCTTCCATCAGGTAACATGGGCTCGGGGGTGGGGCGGTGGACGTGCCATGACTTCATTAGCATCAAGGAGAAAGAGCCTCTGTGATCTGTGAATTAGAGAACAGAAAGGGACACTAATGTAAACTTAAAATCAGGAGTAATGTGTAGAGTTTAGTCCAAGGCCTGAGAAGGAGAAGACTTCTTTCTAAATATGGTGCAACCAGATGGGACCAGATTGTACTTCACTCAGAGTATCTGTGAATTGATATCCAAACATGGATATCTGCTGCCTGCTTCAGGATTCCTAATAGTTGAATAAAAATTCCCATTCCTAGACCCTATCCCAGAGTTACCGACTCAGTTTCTGAGGATAGAGCCCAGCTTCCTTCTTAATTATTTTCCATATAATGGCCCAGTGTTCCCTGTTTTGAAGCAAGGGTTGGGAGTCACTGGCCTATGTATTTTTCTTCCTGCAAAGGTGGATAAAGACTGAAAATAGGCATGGTTTTGAGAAAACTTCATATAGATGGGGAGGGAGTGACCTATTACTGGCTCAGTAAGGAAAGTTAAATGTTGCCTTGTTGGGTGCCATCAAATCGATTTTGACTTCCAGCAATCTTAGAGAACAGAGTAGAACTTGCCCATAGGGTTTTCTAGGCTATAATCTTTATGAACGCTGATGGCTAGTTTTTTTCTTCTGCCCCTCTTTTGGGCAGCCAACCTTTTGGTTAGCAGCCAAATACCTAACTAATGAGCCACCAAAACAACAACAAAAAAAACCCAAACCCACTGCCATCAAGTCGGTTCAGACTCATAGCAACCCCCATTGGGTTTCTGAGGTAGTAAACCTTTTATGGAAGTAGATTGCCCAGTCTTCTTTCTGCATAGTGGCTGATTAGCAGTCAGATGCCTTAGGCACTGTGCTACCAGAGCTCCTTTTGCACCACCAGGGCTTCTAGGTTAAATGCTTTTAAATGGTTAAAAGCTCAGATTTTGGCATTAGACAGATCTCTTCCCTTAAATAGCTCTATGAACCTGGTCAGGTCTCCCAATCTCTGTGGGCCTCAGTGACCTCCTTTGTGAACTCTTTGAACTCTCCTAGTGTTGACAAAAAGAGTAAATCAGATCCACAAATGTAAGTTAAGAGCCTAACATAGTACCTGGGCCTCCTTGATGCCCTGTGCAAGGCTGGATCTTGGCTGATTAAAGAGATTAGGAGAGCATTTCCTAAACTTTTGGCCAGCTGTTGTAGGGAACCTGGTGACACTGTCTTTCTCATGACCTCTGCAGCTCCAGCCCCTCAGAAGGGACACCTGCAGTTGGCAGCTATGGCTGTACCCCTCAGTCACTGCCCAAGTTCCAGCATCCTTCCCATGAACTGCTCAAGGAAAATGGCTTCACACAACACGTCTACCATAAGTATCGTAGGCGCTGCCTTAATGGTAAGAAACACAGGGAAAGGGGCTGAGCCTCTGGGACCCTTACTTTTCCCGGAATGTGGGAGCTAGTGGAGCAGATGACTGTTTTCTCTGACCTCGGAGCAAGGAGTCAGGTGGCATTACAGTCCTAAAGATCAAAGTTAGACTTAGGCCAAATAGTTTTGGAAGGAGGCCAAGGGAATCTGGCTCTTGGAGCATTCCTATTCTTTAATCTAATCTTTTATTGATAGAAGAAATGTCAATTGAGTATTTCATAAGTTGACAAACTGCCAGTTTGGCTGTTGTCCGTTGTGGACCACTGTCCATTACACAAGAGTATACATGAAACATATGTTCTCTACTACCAGGAGTTTGCAAAGTATATGGCCTTTGGGCCAAATCCAGCAAGCGCCCTGTTTTTATATGGCCTACTTCCTCCCAATAGTTAACCTCTTCCCTGTGTCCTTCCCTGCCATGTCCTCCTGCCCCTGAGCTGTCCCCCTGTGCATACACTGCCCTTCTATTCCCCCATGATTGATCTCTTCGAGGAGTGTATCTACCGGATGTAAATGATCAGCCCATATGCCTATCTATTATTTGGTTGGCAGCCATAGGACCATTCAGCCTGTTGGCCCATCTACCTACCTATAGATCAATGTTTGCCGTCACTGGCAATGCAGTACTGTATGTCAAAAGGTTCATCTTTGTTGTCTGTATCTCCCATGTACCTTTCTCTGTCTTCCTCTTCCTGAATGCCACCATGTTGATTACTCATATTTGGCATATTGCTCTTCCCTTCACCCAAATCAATCAATGCTTGTCTCTACCTATCTAGCAGTTAATGCTTGTCTCTACCTATCTAGCAGTGTTCACTCCCCTCCCATCCCAGGTAACCAGAAAAGAAAGTTTCATTCCATATATAAACCATCCCTTTACTTTTTAAATAGTGGACTAATAGAATATTTGTCCTTCTGTGATTGACTTACTTCACTCAGCATAATGTCCTCCAAGTTCATCAAGTGCTTCATTTCTTTTTTTTTTTGCTGAATAATATTCTGTTGTATACTTACATGGCATTTTATTTATCCATTCATGTTTTTGGATGTTGATTGTTGCTAACTTTTGGCTGTTCTAAATAATGCTGCTATGAAGATTCATGTAAAATTTTTTCTGTGGATATATGTTTTCATTTTTCTTGGGTATATGCCTAGGATTGAAATTGCTGGGTCATAGGATTAGTTGTATATGTAACCTTTTGAGCAACTGCCAGACAGTTTTTCAAAGCAGCTGCACTATTACCTTCCCATTTAAGAGTTCCAATTTTTCCACATCTTTGCCAACACTTTTTATTATGTTTTTAATTATAGCCATCTTAGTGGGTGTGAAGTATCATATTGTGGTTTTTAGTTGGATTTTCCTGATGACTAATGATGTTGAGCATCTTTTCATGTGCTTATTGGCCATGTGCATATCTTCTTTGAAGAAGTGTTTATTCAGATCCTTTGCCTATTTTTTAACTAGGTTATTGGTCTTTTTTATTATTGAGTTGTGTGACTTCTTTTTTCTAGATACAACTCCTTTAGCAGATTTATGATTTTTAAATGTTTCCTGGTTCTGTGAGTTGCCTTTTCACTTTCTTGATGGTGTCCTTGGAAGCAGAAGTTTTTCATTTTGATGGTAGCAAATACAGTCACGCACCAATTAACATCTGTATGGGCAGAGTCTGACCACATAAATGTCTGACTGCATATATGTCCGTGGTCCTAATCTCCATAAAGCCTGTTATTTTTAAAATTTGAGGTACAAACAATGGTCGCTAATAACAAACAGGCTGTACTTTGTGATGCGCATCAGAACATATTATTTTTACTGTAATATGTATTAATGTCTATATCTGGAAGTGTTTCTGTAATATTTTTATGCGTAGAAAGGTACACTATATACTAAGACAAACATTTGACTGATAGTAGGGAAAAACCGTACTTAACTGTTCCGCCTATGTAAAAATCCAACTTAAAGACAGATTTAGGATTGGAGCTCATTCATAATCCAGGGACTGCCTATGTATAGTATGGTGTTCATACAACGTCCAAATCATATAAGGTCCTGTTTCATGGAATATCATGGATGTTAAGTAATGCATGACTGTATATCTTTGTTTTGTTTTGCTTGTGCTTTTGGTATTATGTGTTGGTTCTTCTCCCCCCACCCCCACCCCCATGGCACTGCCTCTGGTTCCAGTGCTTTTAATATTACTGTTTCTTACTTGTTAATATTTTTGTTGTTGTTTATGTGCTGTCAAGTCGGACCTGACTCATAGCGACCCCTCCTTGGATTTCTGAGACAGTATCACTACGGAAGTAGATTGCCCAACCTTCCTTCCGAGGAGTGGCTTGGTGGGTTTAAACTGCCAGCCTTCCTGGTTAGCAGTCAAGTGCCTTAGCCACTATGCTACCAGAGCTCCTTTTGTTAATATTTTAGGATTCCTGAAATGATTATTGATAATAAACAATGTAATTTGATCAGATGGACACGTTGCTTCTTCACACTTTGCCATGTACTAACTACACATGAAAGTGATCCTGGTTGAGGATGAAATGATGACCTGTTTCAGATGCTTACGCCACCTGGTCCTGGTGAAGTGTACAGGGTTTGACACAGATTTGTTTTGTTAGCTGCCATCAAGTTGGTTCTGACTCACGGCAATCCTATGTGTACAAAGTAGAACTACTCCCTATGCTATGACCTTTCAGAAGCAGATCACCAGGCCTGTCTTCCAAGGCACCTTTTGATGGGTTCAAACTACCAGCCTTTTGGCTGATAGTCAAATGCTTAACTTTGCACCACTCAGGGACTCCTGACAGAGTAATCAAAAATAAAAAACAAATTCACTGTCATTGAGTCGATCCAGACTCATAGTGACTCCTCCTTGTGTTTCTGAGGTGTCTTTACGGAAGTAGATTGCCCAGTCTTCCAAGGAGTGGCTGGTGGGTTTGAACCACCAGCCTTCTGGTTAGCAGTCAAATGCCTTAGGCACTACACCACCAGAGCTCAATAAATAACTGCTGAATGACTAAAAGAGGGTAGGTGATGAGCCAAGGGAATGTGGATATATAAGAGAAGGGAATAAAGTCTTAAGCCCCAGGATTCGTCATTACTGAAGCAAAGGCAGTGCCTCGCTCTGAGACATGATGTCTTTCCTCCTCTTTCCCCTGTCAGAGAGGAAACGCTTGGGCATTGGCCAATCTCAGGAGATGAACACTCTATTCCGTTTCTGGTCCTTCTTCCTCCGAGATCACTTCAACAAAAAGATGTATGAGGAGTTTAAGCAGCTGGCTCTGGAGGATGCCAAAGAAGGCTACAGGTAAGTGGATTGGGGTGAGAGGCTCTTACTGGTTGGTGCTTTTAGGCTGATGGGGCTGCTTCCAGAACTGCTGTTGGAAATCCCTTGCATGTGTATATACTTACTTAAAAATTTAGTATTTTTGAGTGAGTAATATAGTCACATGGCAAAAATCCAGAGTTTCAAAGGTTATATAATGAAGGGTCGTCTCCTCAACCCTTTCCCCAAGCCTTCAGTTCCTTTCCCCACAAGCAACCAGTATTGTTAGAATCTTATGGGTCCTTTCCAAAAATACTTAATGCCTATGTAAGTAAATACATACCTGTGTGGTCTCCCATACCCTCATCTCTTTCTCTACACAAGAGGTAAGCCTACATTACTCACTTTGCTCTTTTTTACTTAATGCTGTATTTTGGAGTTCATTGCCTATTTGTACAAAAGTAACTTCCTTGCTGTTGTTTTATTGTGGTAAAATACGCGTAATAGAAAATTTATCCACCTTAATTATTTTTGAGTGTAAAATTCAGTGGCATTAAGTACATTGACAGTGTTGGATAACCATTACTACTTCTGTTTCCAGGTCCTTTTTATCATCCCAAACAGAAACTCTGTACCATTAGTCAGTCAGTAACTCACCTTATCCCAGTCCCTGATAACCTCAATTGTTTTGTCTCTATGAATTTGCCTATTTTAAATACTTCAGACAAGTAGAGTCATACAATATTTGTCCTTTTGTTCCAGGCTTATTTCACTCAATATGTGATTTTCAAGGTTTATCCATGTCATAGCATGTAACAAACTTCATTCTTTTCTATGATTGAATAATATTCAGCTGTGTGTACCACAGTTTATCAATTTGTCCATGGATGATGGACATTTCGGTTGTTTCCACCTTTTAGCTGTTGTGAATAATGCTGTGAACATTAGTTTACCTGCTTCTGTTTGAGTCCTTGCTTTTAGTTCTTTTGGAACTTTATCTAAGTGTGGAATTGTTGGGCCATAAAGTAAATTCTATGGTTTTTGAGGAATCACCAAACTTCTTTTACAGCAACTGCACTCTTTTACATTCCGACAAGCAATGCATAAGGGTTCCAATTTCTCTACATCCTTGCCAACACTTGTTTCCCATTTTTTTGTTAGTAACTAATCCTAGTAGATAGTGGATGGGAAGTGGTATATTATTATGGTTTTGATTTGCATTTCCCTAATGACTAATGATGTTGAACATCTTTTCATATGTGTATTGGCCATTTGTTTATTTTCTTTGGAGAAATTTATATTCAAATTCTTGGCCTATTATTTAATTAGCTTGTTTGAGTTTTTTTTTTTTTCCCTTGTTCTTTTTTATATCCTGCATGGTATTATACAGGAGCCCTGGTGGCACAGTGCCTAAGGCACTTGATTGCTAACCAGAAGGCTGGCGGTTTAAACCCACCAGCCACTCCTTGGAAGGAAGATTGGGCATTCTACTTCTGTAGTGATACTGCCTCGGAAACCCAAGGAGGGGTCGCTATGAGTCAGGTCCAACTCCACGGCACATAACAACAACAACAATAATGGTTATATTGTATGGATAATGTATTTAATCAGTCTCCTAATTATAGTTACTTAGGTTGGTTCCAATATGTTGCTATTGAAACACTTTCGTAAGACTCTTGCTGCTTTTTTGTCCCTAATTTTCAAAGTAAAATGTGTTCTTTATAAGTTATTTAAAAATTCCATAAACATTTAAAGAAACTGGGGTGGGGTTGAGCATCCTTTAGTCCAGAGACTGCCACAGTTAATGTTGTGCATCATGCTTCTTTCCAGTCTTTTCATTGCATATTTAATGTATTTAAATCATACTGTAAATGCTCTTTTGTGTCTTTCTTTTGTCATTTATAAGCATGAGCTGTTTTCTGTGTTGAAATATGTTGCTTCATTTCCTTACTACAGAAGTTACTGCATGCTTTTTGAAGAAAATTTAGAACATAACAGATAAAAGAAAAACCACCTGAAAAATCTGTTTCCCGAAGATAACCATTGTTAATATATTTGAGTGTGTTCCCCTCCATGCATGTACAGATACAAAATTTAAATATATGTTTTCACAATGGAAGGAGCCCTAATGGAACTCAAGTTAAGCTCTCAGCAGCTAACCAAAAGGTTTGGCAGTTCACACTCACCAGCTGCTCCACAGAAGAAAGATCGAATGATCTACTTTATAGCCTTGGTTAGGTTTTGGAGCAGTTCTGCTCTGTCCCATAGGGTCACTACTAACTCAATGGCAGTGGGTTTGAGTTTTTCAAAATGTGATCACTCTGAATAACAGCGTGATTTGTTACGTGTCTTTTCTACTTGATGATACATTATATGTATCTTTTAATATATGTATATATTTACATTATAATTTTTCATTGCTGGTATTATTCCTATGTGTGGCTTTAGTTTAATTTTTGCTGACAACTTTTAAGGCATTTAGATTTTGCTTAGTAATGCTGTGTATAGACATCTTTGTTTATGTTTATAAAATCTAAACCTGCATTTTTTTTATCATTTCTAAGACTTAGCATACAGTCTGGGAAATGAAATTCTGAGTCAGGTAAATGAATAAGCCTACTGATTGGCATGACTTCACAAAGAATTTATTCCAGGGATTAGCAAACTTTTTCTGAAGGACTAGATAAGTAAATATTTCAGGCTTTGTGGGCCGTATGATATCTGCAACAACTACTCCACTGTTGTAGCAAAAACGCAGTCATAGGCAATATATGTAAACAAGTAGGACTAGATAAATGGGCATGAGTGGCAGGCAGGTGTTTGATGGGCCAATTTTATGACCTCTTAAAAAAAAAAAAAAAATCACTGCCATCAAGGTGGATCCAACTCATAGCGACCCCTCTTTAGGTTTCCGAGGCAGTATCACTAGGGTTGCCTGACCTTCCTTCCAAGGAGTGGTTGACCTCTAGCCGACTACAAATAGAGTCATGCATCGCTTAGCATCTATGATACAGGACAGGATGTTATGTGGTTTGGATGTATATGAGCATATGATATACAGGTATATATATTATGGGTTATGAACAATTTTCATATTTTTTATCTGATTTGTATGTAAGTTGGAATTGATAGGTATGGTTCATATCTAATGTCAGATGTTTGTCTTGGTATACAATGTACCTTTGTATGCATAAAAACCATTAAACTCTTCCAGATTCACTAAAACATCTTTAGCATAATAATATGGTTATTATAATAATGTTTTGATTCATGTGACAAAATAGCACCTGGGGTTTTTTGGTTTGTTTGTTTGTTTGTTTTTAAAGGCTCTGTAGGGGTTGGAACACAGTCGTCGTCCTAGTGGATGTTATGTGGCATGTGACTTTCTTTAACATTGGATCCACTTAGATCAGCATTGTTAGTCCTTCTTAAAGAATATTTGCTACTTTGGAAAGTTTTGGTAATACTTTCCAAAATACACAATACTGTTTTTCAGAGGAGTAGCCCATTGTGTGTAAACTATTTATTTCTTAGCTAACCTCTCATGTAGGCACATGTATTTCCCCATCTCACAGATAATGAAGCTGCATCCTGATTTTCCTGACTGACTTGTGTTCTCCTATAGATATGGTTTGGAGTGCCTTTTTCGATACTACAGTTATGGCCTGGAAAAGAAGTTCCGGTTGGACATATTCAAGGATTTTCAGGAGGAAACCGTGAAGGACTACGAAGCTGGTGAGAACTAGAGAGGGCTCTCTCCTTGCCACCACTTTCTGTGCTCACTCCCCAGTGTGACCTTCATCTGTCACATCACTCCTTCCTCTCTTCTGAGCCTCTTTTTTCCTGATCTTCTCACCAGCACAGCTTCTATTTCTCTCTCCACAGGCCAACTCTATGGGCTGGAGAAGTTCTGGGCTTTCTTGAAATATTCCAAAGCCAAAAATTTGGACATTGGCCCCAAACTGCAAGAATACCTCGGCAAATTCCGACGTCTAGAAGACTTCCGAGTGGATGTGAGTGAAAGTCTTTCTCATTCTAGTTACCTTGGGGTAGGGGTGAGGAAAAAAACGATACCAGAAATCAGGATACTGGGTGTGGTCCCAGCTCCGTTAAGAGCCAGCCCAGGGACATTTTGCCCCAGTTGTGCTTTAGGTTTTTTTGTTTTGTTTTTTAAATCTAAAATGAAGAGTGAGAATGAACAATGATGACTAATTGGAGTTAATTGTGTGGTTGTCCTTCCCTCCTTTCCCTTGGTAGACACAGATAAACCATCTTAAGCGCTTTCCCCATTATTTCATAATTTTCCTTGCTTCTGTGCCTCATTTAGCCACTATTAGTTGATCAGGATGGAGACCCTAGATAAAATGTATTTGCTCTTCCTAGTTCCAATCACAGTTTGTGAATTGACATTGATTCTTCTCCCATTCTTGGCAAATGCCTCAACAGTGACATCTAATGGTGGGTCTGGGTTATTGCTACTGGGTACAGTGGTTGGAGTTTAATTTGTTCAATTGATTCGGCAGTTACTTACTGGACATTTTAGTGCTTGGTGCTTCATGGGCCCCAGAGATGAGTGAAAGACACCTATTCTTTCAATGAGATTATGATGTAGTAGAGATATGCCAGTCATCTTATTCCTTTCAAACTTTTAGCAATGAAGCAAGAAATAAATCCTGCACGTTTATGTTTAAAAGCTGCTATTGAATGTTTACTGTGTGCTGGGCACTTTACATTGATATCATTTAATCCTTACAATGTGTGAAGTAGGCAGGGCTTATTTTATTGTTGCATAGATGGGTAAACTGAGGCCTGTGGCTACTAAATTAAATTGTGACAGAATTGATCAGGCCTCTCAATATAAAGCTGAGTCTGTTTTCTTCTATCCTTGAGCACTTCCAGCTTTGGGATTTGAGGGAGAACACATGTGGAGAACCCCTGTAATAGGCAGACCTGTTAGGGTGGAGCAGGAAGTACTCAGCTTTGGTATCTGACACTCAGTTCGGTGTACTTGTTTAGGCCTTGAGAATGAGGCACTTGACAGGAAAAACCTGGGCCTTCTGAGCTGAGACATTTCAACATATATTGTATTCCATATTCAGCATCTTCTGAGCCAGTCAAGCCGTTTGCAGAAGGGGGAGCAAAAACATCTATGGATAAAAGCCTGGGCTTCTGAGGTAGATGTGCCTAGTCCAGATTTTAGCTTCACTTCTTACCAGCTATGGGAACCTGGAGAAATTTCTTTTTCAGTACTGTAGTTTCTAAATCTGTAAAATGGAATGACCATGTCTACATCGAAAGGTGGTATGTAGATGCTGTGAGAAAACGTGCATAAAACAGCATTGCGCTTAGAATGGAGAAGTGCTTCATAACTATAACTGCTAACTGGTTTTTAAGGTTAAACCTATTCATTGTCTGCATTGGAAATAGGAAGTGGATGGTCTCTAGATGGTCAACCCTGGCACCCAGTGGGTGTGGGTAGTACCCACTAATCACTTGTGACATCCTTCTCTGTTGCAGCCCCCTATGGGTGAGGAAGGCAACCACAAGCGACACCCAGTGGCAGCAGGAGGTGGCAGCAGTGAGGGCAGAAAGCGATGCCCTTCTCAGTCTTCCAACCGGCCTGCCACCATGATCAGCCAACCTCCCGTACCTCCCACTGGCCAGCCCATTCGGGAAGATGCCAAATGGACGAGCCAGCACTCGGACATGCAGACTTTGGGAAAGTGAAAAGCCCTTTAGCCCTGGGGTTGGGGGGTAAGGGGGTGGGTTAGGCGAGAGGTCATGGGGGTGCCCAGTCCCAGGAGAGAGGGGACTTAAAAGAGGGACAGGCCCTTGTGCTGAGTAGTGGCGTGTACACCATTTGGGCGTCAAAGGTTCAGAGGTACCCCTCTGGGCAGGAGCCTCCACATACTCCCTTCCCCCCTCTTTCTCCATGACTCTTCATATCCTAGCTTCTTCTAAAGGGGGGTGGGAAAGGGGGGAGATTTTTTTTTTATATATATATATATATATACATATATATATATCAAGTTTTAAATTATTGATAGTTTGTCTGGATTACCAAAATCACTCTGTAGCCTGCCTGCTGCTGGTAGGCCGCAACCCTGGTCCCCACCCACAGCCTCTTCCTGCTCCCCCTCAAGCCAACTATGCAGCCCACAAGAAGGCACTGTGGGCCCTATTGCCCAGCCCTGTCCCATGGAAGGCTCCGGCAGCACCCCTGGGCCCCAGAAGCACTAGCCCCTTGATCATCTGGGGCTTACCAACACCATGTTCTCTGCTGACTGTCCCCACCACACCCTTCTGCCATCTTCTGGGAGAAGGAAACCAAAGGATCTACAAGTGGGGTTTGAGGGAAGGTTTCAGCCTCTCCTCACTCCCCTCTTCCCTACACCCTTACTTCCCAGCCCAGAGAGACGCTGCTCATACCAGAAAAGACTATTGAAAGATGATTTATTTTATTTTTCTCTGACCTTTCCATCCATGGAAAAAGGGGGAAAAAAAAAAAAAAAATGACCAAAAAAGACAAAAAAAAAAAAAACCCACAGAAAATCCCTACCTAATCCACCAAAAGTGATGTCTTCTACCCCTGGATTTGTTTTTGTTTTGTTTTTTTTTGTTCTTGGAAATAATATTTTTTTAAAAGTTGCCTTACTGTGGAGCGGGAATCTGAAATACCCAAATGCCTGTTTTCCTCGATGGAGTCAACTCGAAGAGCTCCCACCTTCTCTGGATGTGCCTGGGCTTGGATTGGCTAGAATCTTTCTCTGGACTGAGTTGCATGTACCATGCCTCCTAACTGGAGGTAAGAGAGTTGAGGGCGGCTCCTGTCAGAGCTGTGCCCACAATGTCCCTGCTGTTGCATCGTTTGAAGCTGATGTCCTGTGTCTGTACACTGCTGCCTCTGTCGTGTCCTCGCTCTGCTTGCTGTTGTCTGACGCCAGGCTCCATCCTGCCGTGACCTTTCATCCTACCCTTGGAACCCCAAGGCCAAGTTTGCTTCAGACTGTTTGCTTCAGACTGCTTCAGAATAGAGTTGGCCTGAATCTGGAACACTCTTGTCTTCAGCTTAAACGTCTCTCCACCCCAGAGGGGGAAATGAAACACCAAGCTGCTGAGGCTTGACAGTGTTTCTTGTATTGGCCTCAAAGATCTCTTGAGACCCCAAGGAAGCTCTGTCCCTCACAGAAGGTGGAGAAAGATGCTACTTCTCCTCCCTCAGGTCTGGTGAGGTCTCCCCATCTTGCATCTCCCCTCTGCAAGCTGTCTTTGCCCATCCTCCAGTTGACCCTGCCTGAGAACAAGTGAGAAGTTGGGGGCTGGGGGGAACCCTGCCAGCGGCTGAAGCCCTGTGGCAGAAAGGTATATGTGGACATAGAGTATACCTGACTTCTCTTCTCCAGCCACTAACTGCTTGGGCTGTGAATGACAGTGGAATGGCTGGAGTCTACTATCTTTAGAAGCTAGGGAGGGTGACAAAGGATCAACCCACATAGACTTTGGGATGTGTATTGGGTAAAGGCATGACTGCTTATTCACCCCCAGTGGGAACTGGACAACAGGTGAGGAGTTTGTGGTCTCATTGCTGAATTGCTGGAACTTCCTTGGCCCTCTTTCTCAGTTGGTTCCTCTGCTGGACCCAAAGGGTGGGAGTAGGAGACAGTAACCCAGGCTTGCCCTCTGTCTTTGGCACTTCATTGCTTTCAGCCTGCACCCACCCTTTTATCATTCCCCTTCCAGTGGTTAGTATGTGGGAAGCCTGTTTTATTTCTGAGGCAGTCCTCTCAAAAGCCAAGGATTTTAGGTGAGTGTCTGGTTTCTGCTAAGACAATGGGATCTAAGGCCTTTTCCTACCCAGTCTGGTACCAGACACAGGACTCTTGGACTCCCTTCCTCTCCCCTCTCTCTTCACCCTTCCTTTCCTTCGGATCACTCAGCCCTGTACTGTATCCAGCACCACAGAAACCTCAGCTTGTCCTCTGCTGGGTTTGGGAGCACAAGGAAACCTTAGGGGTAGGAAAAGGCTGCTGTTATCTAGAGTTTATCCCTAGGCCAGGGGCTGCCATCCTCTCCCTGATCCATCCACAGACACCCCAGAAAGAGGAAACAAGCCCCTTTGGGGTGGCCAGGTGAGGACTTCATCTCAATGTAGGCTGGGTGGGGGGTTTGTTTTCGGGGATTGTTGGGTTTTTGGTTTTGATTTTTTTTTTTGTTTTTTGTTTTTTTTTTGGTAACATGTTAGGAGTTAATGTTGCAAAGAGTAGTTTACATCTTCACTTTCTGAAGACACTTGAATTTAGGACCGACGTATCTGTGACAAGCATGCCAGGAGTGGCAGGGCCGTCAGGACTAGCCACTTCACACCCACCATCCTCCCATAGGGAACGAAGACCTGAAACAAAGCAACACCCTGCCCTTAAATTCCTTTGTTCATCCTGTACCCTTCTGAAGTTGGTCCATGCCAACAGGACCTGTGGGCATCAGGCACCAGAAGGCCTGTGTGCCTCAGCCCTGGTAAAGGATGGGTTTCTCTTTCACTTTCCCCTAAATCTGGGAGCAAATGCACTAGCAGTAAAGAAGGGCCATCAGCTCTGCCCCAGTCTGGACCCCTGGGGCTCAGATCATGGTGCTGAGCCCCCATGTCAAAAGTTGTTTTATTTTTGTTTTGTTCCATAGTAGCTCTTCTCCCCCTCCCCCCCTTGATTTTATGACAGAAAAAAATTAAGCTGCTCAGAAGGCCCTGAAAGTGGGGAAGAGGGGTAAGGAAAATGACTTAGGGAGGGTGGGGGGAGCCTTGCCAAAAGCCTGTATACAATGGTCTGAATCATCTGGCCCCCTCCTGGATGGGACCTCATGGTTTCTCCTGTGTGCAAGGGTCCCTGGCTTTGCCCCAGCTCCCACACTCTCCTTCAGCCTTGTCGATGGCAAAGGCAGAGAAGATAGGAACTTAGATGAGCCCATTTCTCACTGGAGAGGAAAACTTGTCATCTGGCTTTGCAGAGAAGGTTCCACCTTAATGCTCAGTACATTATCTTTACCATGTGCTAGGATATCACATTTAAAAGGACAAAAAAAAAAAAAAATGTAAAATACTTGAATGAGCTTGTATTATAACATTAATATTATTGAGAGTATCTGCTTTCCAGGCTGAAGTGATTCATTCATTATTCTAGTCCTGCTTTAGTCCTTTGTAATTTGTGGTAATTATGCTTTTCTTTTTAATACAAAAAAAAATGTATAAAAATAAAAATTTGAAAAGGCAAAATACTGGCTTGTCTCCCACTTGGGTTACAGGTGTTGGGTGTGAGGGATGGAGCCCAGTAAGGGTTTTATCAGATCCAAAAGATGGACAGTGCTGAAAAGAACTCTACCCTGGATTTGCACATTAAACCCTGCTGTTAAGCTTTTTGGCAGTCTGCCTGCAGAGCTGCTAGTGCATCCAGGTGTCTTCCTTAGTGGTCATTAGAGCTTCTGCCAACCTTGAATTCCCATCAATATTGTGTCTTGTGGGAAGGGGCACACAACTAGTGCCACAAAAGGGACAGACATCATCCTATAGACGGAATTTCAGGGTTTCGGCCCACTTGTCTGCTCTCTAGTTTTCTGGCTGTTTAAGGAACCAAGAAGCAAAAGTTTGCTCTGATTCCTTATGGAGAGTTGGTACAGCCCCTCACTGAACAGATTTTCCTTAAGTGGTATAAAAGAGTAATTAACACTTGTGGTCTGTAAGTCAGCACTGAGCCCTGAGGCTAGGGAGGGGTAGCACAATGAGTCCCCATCCCATGATGGTCCCTAGGGCTGTTGGTGGCTTCCTTCCACCCATGAGGCCACCTACTGGCAGTAGGAACACTTTCTGAATGTCCACAACCAGGTTTACTTTTCTGGCCTGGGTGTGTAATTAAAAATTGAGACACAGCCTTGTTTTTCACTCATTCATCTGACAACTCCCATGACCACCTGAATATCCCATTAGAAACGGTTAGTTCTTTCTATCAGTGGCATCCATAGATCAAAGAAGATAGTGTTTAGGGTTCTTACAGACTGATAGTAAATCAGTTGGTACTTTGGCAACAGAAGAACTTTTGAGTTAATTGAATCTTACTTCCAAATCTGCTCATGAAAGAATCCACTAATTAATTGCACTGGTATAACTCAGATGTCATATTCTTGAGTGTTGGAATGAGGCACAATGGAAAGAAGAAACTGCAAATCATTTCACATGATTCCTCTTTTCCCATTAATATTTTCTGCTGGGCATTTCAAAGTCTCAGCCTTTTGTTCATGATGACCTGTTTACCCACCTCAGGGCTATTCCTGTTTGATGCTGGAAGAAAATAGGATCAAGCCCACTACCCCTACTAAGGTGTCCTCCACAGTACCTCAAAATGTAAAGAAATCCATTCTCTTTCTTATCCACTCTTCCCTCATCCCCAGCCCTTCTTAAATATACCAAAAAATGACTTTTATTTTTCCCCAAATATTTATTCATAGGAACAAGTAATGCAAGCCTGCAGCTGTGAAAACTTAGGAGCTCAAGGCACCAGCTGTCCTGGGGTGGGAGCCTGAGTCCACCAAAGCCAGAGGTGTACAGGCAGAGCTTTGGAAGGCCTAGAGAAGAAGCTGCCTAGTATGTGCCCCCTTGGCCTACTGGGCAGGTCCTAGAGCCATGAGAAGAAGTCCTTTTTTGATAGTTTTGCCTGGGGACAGCCAACCCTATCACAGTTTAAATATTTTATAACAATGGTGGTATTCTTGGCAGAAGAGAATGAAAAGTTCAGAAGTATACAGTAGTATGTATTACGAATTCAGTTGTTGATGGTACTCTCAAATCACACTGGTCTTAGGAACCACAGGGTTCCTGGTAGTGTTGTGACATCCAAGCAGAGACCAGATAAGGGTAGGGACTGCTTCAACCCAAGTAGCTCTCTGGTTTTATTTGATACAATGAGGTTCCAGGTATGACTGCTAAAATCAATAGCAAATGGAGTTGAAACTCACTATTGTCACGTCGGATCCGTCTCATTGTGACCCCTCCTTGGGTTTCCGAGGCAGTAGTTCCATGGAAGTAGATTGCTGAGTCTGCCTACCAAGGAGTGGCTGGTGGGTTTGAACTGCTAGCCTTCTGGCTAGCAGTCAAATGTCTTAGGCACTACACCACCAGAGCTCCCAAATGCAGTTGAGGCAACTGTTGTAAACACTTAGGGGGAGGAGAAGGAGGATTTTGCCTTTTTCTGGGCACCCTGGGGGAAGAGGCATCTAACCTCTGTGGTCCTGCTTCAGGGTGGCTAATAAGGGAGCTTCAGTTGGATATCCCCCCAGCAACTTTGACCCCTTTATGTATAAAAGGGTCCCAGCTTAGTAGGGTCCTCAGGGCTTAGCCTTCCCTTTCCATGTGAGGCTGGTGTAGAGGTTTGCTCTATACCTCTTCAGTGTTTCTGTTTTAATCCAGGGGACAGTTTGTGTGGTTGGTATTTTTCTTCCAGAGATGAGATGGGGCCTTCATCACTGTGTGTGTGTATATGTGTGTGTATTCAGGGGGCAGTGGGGACTAGCATGCTCAGAACTGGGACTCTGTAACCATTCTCCAGGATGCCCTGGCCTGAGTAGGGTATGAGGAAAGCTTTTTGGTATAAGAAAGGCCAAAGCCTTACCCTGTTTCCCTAACCCCAATGGCACTGGAAGGAGCTCTCTCTCGAGCCACCTAGCCTCCAGTCTCCCAGCCACCTTTGCCATTCTCTTTCTCTGGGGGAGCTCTGGTAGCATAGTGGGTAAGGCACTTGACTGCTAACCAGAAGGCTAGCGGTTCAAACCCACCAGCCACTCCTCAGAAGGAAGATGGGGCAATCTACTTCCATAGTGATACTGCCTCAGAAACCCAAGGAGGGGTCGCTGTGAGTCGGGTCCGACTTGACGGCACCTAACAGTAACAACAACAGGCCACAGAGGAGCCATCTAGAATGGAACCTCTTTCCTTCCACAGCAGCAGACCAGGGGACATGCCAGTAACCCTCAAAGTAGTTTCCTCCCTCTGGCTGCCCTCCAGTCTAGGAACTGGTTTTCATTCTTTCTTCAGCCAACTCCTGATCTCCCAGAGGAATACAGGTTTCCCCCCACTGCCCAAAAGTAAGAGCATCCCTATTCCTTTCGTAAGCTGAAAAGGTGTAGGAGGTAAAGAAGCAAATACCAGTAAGTTATATAGGAAAAACTCTTAAGCATCCCCGAACCCCAAAAATAACCTACCAAATCATACCAAATAACACACACAACCTAGAATAACACATACAGTGAAAGTAGGAATGACATGATAAAAACACAGCCTGTATGAAGTCAAGGCAGTATATGTGCAGTGTGATTCCTGGGAAGGAGCTTGGTGACACTACTTGATGCTCCTGTGTGCTTCCAGTGCTTCATTACAAAACACACTTAAACGCTTCATTTTTCCCCTTTTCCTGAAAGTGAAAATCCTCTTTGGATTTCCTTCAGTTAGTGAAAACAGATATTAAAGTTGGTCTTTTGTAAAAGAGAAGTGGCATAAATAAAGCAAACTTTTAAAAAGTGGGGGATAACTGTCTCAGGGGCAGTAATTTGGGGGAGCCCCTGCTTTTCTAGGAAGTCGACATTCCCCCCTGCCCTCCAAATACTCATGATGGCATAATAATGAGTGTGTGGCTATTGGAAGCAAGTTGTCAGTTGTGATCATCAGGACACAGGCTACCTTGGCAGCCCACTGCTGAGGGGACAGCAAGGATGGCACTAGGACCCTCCCTCACTCCATCTTCTTTGGGGAGTCGGGGATGCTCTCAGAGAGCGGGGTGAAACTCAGCAGGAGGACATGTCTCTCATATGCCTTGGTCTGCTTAAACAAGGTGTCGGTCCCATGGAGGTGGTCCAGCACTCCCAGCACTCCATAGCACTGGGTGAACCTGGCGGAGAGAGGAAGATGCTGCAGTCCTGGTGCCAGAAGTCTGGGCTGACCTCCATTTGTGGGGCCTCTCATTTCTAAGCCCTTGTACCCCTACTTCTCTGCCACCATCCTGACCACCTACCTGCATCAACAGCCTGGGGAGCTATTAAAAGTGTTTACTCCTGGGTCTACTCCAGACCTAGAAAGTCTGGAGTCTTCCTCTGAAACATACCCCAAGTCATTATGATGCACACAAGTTTGAGAGGCCCTGGCAGAGCTAGGCTTGTTCCAGCATCATTATCCTGGAACACTGATTGAAATGAGGATTCCAGGCCTTACCCTCCAGATTCTTTGATACAGAGCCTGCATTTTAAACAAAGATTCCAGGTGGTTCTAGTGCAACATGGTCATTGACCATGCCTGAAAAAAGCCTAGGGGCTTTCAGAGAGCTCCTAACTCTGCTTGGGATGCATGCAAGGTTTTAGTGGATATGTGCATTTTTCTAAGGAGAGTGACCATAGTTTACATTAGATACTCAGAGTGCAGAACCCAATAAAGGTTAAAAACCCACAGTTACAGGAGGACCTAGTGTCAGAAATGGAGAAAAAGGCATAGTGGTCTGGGTCCCAGTGTGGTCATTATTTTTCTCACCTCCAGATGTCCCCTTCCTCACTGGCATCCTCTAGTGCCTGCCATCAGAAGCCCTAAGAGTGAGGATGGTGGTTATGGGCCAGGGCCCACCATGAGGAAGGGGGTCTTACTTGAGATGGTGGTAGTCGTGGAATTCGGGTGAAGGCAGGAAAGGTAAGTGGTAGCCACAGTGGGAGATGGTGGTGATGATGAGGGCCAAGGAGAACCAAATGATGATGGATGACAAGTGGGAGCCCATTACTATGGGACCCAGCATTGCTGGCAGCATGTTGGAGACCTGCAAGGGGAAGCATGATTGAAGGCAGGACTCAAGGAAGTGCAGGGGACCCAGTTGGGTGTCCACTTTGCCCTACAGTGATAGCAAGAAGTTATTTATTTATTTAATGGTTCTTTAATCCTCTTCAGTTTTGTAATACCTGTTAGACTACAGAAACAAATTGAATGGATATGATTTTTTTTTTTTTTTCCAGGAATAATTTCTTGACACAGATCTGGAGAAGCTGAGGGTTCAGCTCCAACCTTGGACAAGTTCTTAACTGTTTGAGTCTCAACTTTCCCACTAGCATAATGAGGATTAAAAAGGCTTTGGGGAGGATTAAATGAGATACCCTGACAACTAGCATAGCCTAGCATATAGTATGTCAACAATAAATTGTAACTGTTTAAAGGGAAGAGGAAAGAGCCAAAAGGAAGTGATTGGAGTCCTTTGCCCTTTGCCTTTGAGGAGAGTGGAGTGCTACTTACCACATGCTCTACAGGGTGGGCATAAAGAGAGATCACACCAATGGGAGCTGTCCACTCATGGTGTTTCTTGTGGATTTTCTTATAGAGTGCTGGATGGTGAAGGAGCCTGGAACATGGAGGGGAAATATTTAATCTGCCAGTCCCTCATCCCCCTGTCATAACATGAAAAAACATACCACTCAGACCTGCTTTGAAGTCCCGGCCCAAATTTTTAGGCTACATAGTTTGGGGTTGGTTAATTGTCCAATCTACCTCAGTTGTACATGCTGTAAAGTGGGGATGGTGCCAGAAAGGATTTAATAAGGAAATGGATAAGGAACTGCCCTGCCTCACACACAAATGGAAAAGGGTTTTTTTTCTGGGCTTTCTTCAGTTGTCCCGAGAGGTTCAAAAGAAAAAAAACAAATTCATTACCATCGAGTGGGTCCCAACTCATAGCGACCCCTTCTTGGGTTTCTGAGGCAGTACCTCTATGGAAGTAGATTGTCCAGTCTTCCTTCTGAGGAGTGGCTGGTGGGTTTGAATCACCAGCCTTCTAGTTAGCAGTCAAATGCCATAGGTATTACACCACCAGAGCTCCCAAGGGGTTATTGTGGGATAAATAGTTGCCTCCCTGTTAACCATATACTTGGAGGCATTTGATGCCTGGGGATGTTGGTCATGCACCTACAATTCAGAGGCCTCAGTTTCCTCATTTGTGAATAAGCCTTAGGGTGGCTATACTCAGGCAAGAACCCTCCTCACCGGTGCGAGTAGTAGAACATGATTTCCTCGATCAGGGTGAAGACTGCCAGCTCCAGGAGGAACCAGTGAAAGGTGGGTAACTCTCGGCGGCAGGGATCACCCCACCATTTGAGGATGGGATAGAGGAAGATCACCATGGGGAAAGAGAGCACACACTGGTTGAAGATAACTGTGCGGATAGACTGGCGTAGTTTCACAGGATCCACCTGTCCAAGAGAAAGGAAGGAGATGGACAAGAATGTGAGAAGTCAGTCTTTCCTTTCTATAATAGGCTCAACTGTGACCTGGTCATAGGAGGCCCTTGCTTGAGTTGGATGGTGGGAGAGATGTCTGGTTGTCACTGCAGCCCTTGACTGCCACCCAGCTCAGGTTTGGAACCACTGGAGCTATAAGACCTGGCTGTTAGGAAACCTTTGGAAACCTCTCCCTTCGGAAACTCCCCTCCCAGCAGCCTTGTTAATGCCTGAGCCTGGCTTCTCCCTCCAGTATCTGCAGGCATTACTAGTCATTTCTCTGATTCAGAGAGCAGAGGTGGCCAGGCCCCATGTATTCCTGACAGGGATTTGTGGGGATCCTCCAGGTGCAAGGAGAAGGCTGTGAACTCTCAAGTTCAGCTCTAACCTCTCTGGATGCAGACATCAGGGTCTTTTGCCACCTCATGTGGTCCAGTCTCGCTGGACTTGCCCCCAGCATGAATAAGGAAGTAAGCCAAGGAGCTGGCCTACTAACTTCCTGTGTGACCTGGTGTTACTGGTTCTCACAGTGGAGCTGTCAGGATGGGGGCCTGCCTGAGCTTTCTCCCCAAGGTTCAGTGTTGAGAGATGGCCCCAACTGCTCCTCTGTACCCCAAGAATCAGTAACCACTGGCCTTTCCCTTTATCAGAGCACTGGGGCTCCAGGGAATAGCCTCATGATCACAGGTCACTTCCTGCATCCTGATGAACTGGTTTGGAATTGGTCAGAAGGGTTTTCTCTCAGAGTTTCCTCTGCAAGCTGGAAGGGTTTCTACCCCAAGACAAGGCTCGGTTCAGAGTGGTCCCAGACTTGAGGACCTCCACAACCACCAGCCTTTCCAGGCACTATATGTGTTAACTGACCAGAATTCTCTCTTCAAGCATTGAGATCTATCTCCTTGAGGCCAAGTCTGGTCACCTGACTTGAGAGCATACATAAGATGAGGCCATACACTTCTAGAAACCTTGACCAAGACAGGGGAGTTGGATCTGTATTTGTTCATTCCTGGTTCTCACAGTGGAGCTGTCAGGATGGGGGCTGCTGACTCAGTGCACACACCAGGCAGTGTTTTAGGTACTGGAAATAGAGCAACAAACAAAACAGATTCTTATCTTAGTGGAGTTTACATTCTAATGGGGACAATAGATAGGAAACAACAAATATTTGGGAAAAAAAAAAAAAAAGCATAAAGAGAAATTAAGTCCTGGTACATGTTGCAAGATTGAGGAAACTTGAAAACATGCTGAGTGAAATAAGTCCATTATGAAAGGACAAATATGGTATGATCTCACTTTATATGTAGTATCTAGAATAGGCAAGTGTATAAAGATCAAAGTTTCCTAGTAGTTACCAAGGATGAGTGGAAGAAAGGGAGAAAGGCAAGCAGTGATGACCTCCGGAGGGACCTCTGGAGGCTCCTTCCTGCTTCTTAACTGAGGATGCCCACAGTTCAGAAGCACTGGAGTCGGATGAGAAAAGTTCTGGGTCTGTCTCCTAGTAACAGTATAACCTTGAGCTAGTCACTTCAACTTTCTAGGCTTCAGATTCTGCAAAATGCAACAAGACCTTCCTTACGCAGTTCTCTAGTCATTGCAGATTGTAAGGTGTTACAGATGCTAGGTGACACTCTTGAGAGCTGTTGTAGCCTGGTTATTAAGGGCATGAGCCCTGAAGTCAGAAAGATCTGAGTTTGAATCAAGGTTCTCCCCATGTAACATCTCAAAGCCTCCATTTCCTTACCTAAACAATGATGGTGATTATTGTATTTGGCTTTGAAGAGGTAAGCTTTCAGTCAGTGGTGGCTGCTAAGGAGACCACTGTGGTCAGAAAGATGAAGGGTTCTCAAGGACCACACACAGCTTTGTCATGTAAGGTCCTGATCCCTGCCTTGCCAAGTTGGGCCTGGAGGAAGCCCCTCTGGCTGGCTGGCAGCTGTTGTCTAGTGGTGGTTATGTTTGTGTGTCAACTTGGCTGGGCCTGGTTGAGTGGCTGGGCAGCTGGTGGTAGTTACTACCCATGATGAGACTCCCAATCAACTCCATGGTGGGATCTACCATAAGCAGCTGAGTAGCTGCCTTTGGGATGTGGTCTGCTTCCTGTATATAAGGAGAAGCCTTGGGGATAGTCTCTAGCTTATGGCACGCTTGGACCCTGCATGTAGCTGTATCGTTGTTCAGCAGCTTGCCATGCTCTGCCAACCTGGGGACTTAAATGGACTTGAATTGATGGCCTGCCATGTGGTTTGGTAACATAGGGACTGTGCCTTTTTTAATTGTCAACCTTGGGCTTGGCAGCCTCAGCAGCCAGCAGCTGTCTGAGTGAAGAAATGCCTCTATCTCCAGTGAGCTGGGAGCTGGAAGCAGAGCTGGACCCCAAGGCTGAGGGGCTTTCACCCAGCCCCTAGAGCCTGGCACTTTGAACTTGGACTTATAGCCTCCAAATTGTAAGAATAAACTCCTGTTTGTTAAAACCATCCCATTTGTGGTATATTCTTGTCAGAGCAGCACTAGGTAACCAGAACAGACTTAACTGAGGGGAACTAGGAACCAGGCCAGCAGCCACAGTTCAGGAAGGCACCATAGCAAAGACGTGGTTTAAAAACAATGTTTTCTACCAATTCTGCCTTTCTGGAGTGCTAGGCTGGGGCAGAATGCTCCAAGAGCTAAGGTGATTCACTAAGGGCATAGATGTTTAAAAAGAAATGCATTTTTTCCCCATAGGAAAGAAGCCAGGAAGTGGTTTAGGTGGTGCTGCAGAAAGAGCCTGAATTTTAGAATCAGCATCTTCCCTGTTGTTTAAGATAAGGCTCCTGGGCTTGTCTAGAGCACCAAGCAGACAAGGTGGTTCAGAGAACAGTGGCCTTGCCTCTCTGTGCAGTGCAAGTTGGAAATGCATGTACTAGCTGGCTGCCTCTCACCTATTCGCTGGGATGTCCTTGTAAGCAAACCCTGAACCTTGTTTATTCTGCATCTGCACTAGTCCATTGTACTGTTAGTTAAACTGAATAACTGGAAGGCAGGGCCTACTTAAAAAAACACCACACACACATTCAGAATCCACACCATCCGTCTGATAAGGCAAGCTCTTCCATTATTTTAGCAGCTGTGCCTGTCACTTAAAACAACAGTAGTTATCTGGGTTTCAGCATCCAGCAGGAGCTATAGCCGTCTCTGTCCCCTGGATAAGTGGGAGCTACCAGACATCTCTGGACTTCAGCCCAGAGCCAGGGAGAGGTGATCTCTTATGTTCCTAAAATGCTTACTGCAGTAATTGTTGTTGTTGTTATGTGCCGTCGAATCAGACCCGACTCATAGCGACCCCTCCTTGGGTTTCCAAGGCAGTATCACTACGGAAGTAGGATTGCCCAACCTTCCTTCCGAGGAGTGGCTGGTGGGTTTGAACCGCCAGCCTTCTGGTTAGCAGTCAAGTGCTTTAGCCACTATGCTACCAGAGCTCCTTACTGCAGTAATAGAGGTAGCATAGTCTGCTACAGAGCCAGAACATAGTCTTGATTGGCCACCAGCTGGCTCTGAGATGTTCAGCAAATTATTTCCTCTCTCGAAGCTTCTAAATTGAGGGAAGCCTTGTAGATAATGCATTCCTGGATGGTGTGAGCAGGTAATAGCCTCAGCTAACCTGGAGTCCACCCTGTAGTGCCTTGGAAGAAAGGCCTGGTGATCTGCTTCTGAAAAATCAACTGCTGAAAACCCTATAGAGCACAGTTTACTCCGACACACAAGGGGGTCATCGTGAGTTGGAATCAACTTGGCAACTGGTGGTGTGGATAATATCTTGGCCCGCCCTGGTCATGGTCTCTCCTGGACCAGTGGTAAGAATTTTGGGAGTTTGGCTTTTGCTTTCTTGCTGACCAGGGGAAGATGCACCAACACTTACTGGTTCATTCTTGCCAATCTGAATTCGGTAGCGAGAAATGAAGTTAGGTTTTCCAGTTGTGTCAACCACCAGTAGAAGCCCATTGAAGCTCCAGAAGAATAGAAATGGCACTTGGGAGGCACCTGAGGTTGGGAAACAGAAGGGGAAATCAGGACTTGAGGTTCTCATAGCACATGTATTAATAAGGATATGTTCCATAGTGACTATAGGCAATGCCTTTCTAGGGAGGTGCTACTGCTTTGCACTGGGGGCTGCCTCTAGACTTGAGGTGGGAACTTAGACAAGTCACTTAATGCATGTCTCTACTTAATTAACTGTAAAATGGGTACAACTTGTTTCAAAGTAGTTGGAGACAAAATATGTATGTGTGTATGTGTGTATGAAAGTATGTTAAGATAAATAATGCACTCTAAAAGATAAATGAATTTAGGTTAATGTTTGGAGTCCTTGGATGGAGCAAACGGTTAAGTGCTTGACTACTAGCCAAGAGGTTGGTGGTTTGGACCCACCCAGAGGCTCCTTGGGAGACAGGTCTAGCAATCTACTTCCAAAAGACACAGCCTTAGAAACCCTATGGAGGTAGGTTTTGTTTTTTAAATTATTTTATTGTGATTTGGGTGAAAGTTTACAGTGCAAATTCATCTTCCATACAGCAGTTCATACACATTTTGTTTCATAATATTGACTGTAATTCCTCATAATGTAACATCTTCCCACTTCCTCCCTGTAGTTTACCTCTCCCATGTCCTTCTTTCCTTTGCATTCCTGCCCCCTGAGCTATCTCCCTGTGCAAATACTGCCCGTCTGTTCTCCCTTGATTTGATCATTCTAAGGAATGTATCTACCTGATGTAAATGTTTACTCTATATGCCTGTCTTTTGTTTGGCTGGAAGCCATGGCAGTGAGTTCAATTCAAGACCTGAACTAGGGGCCATATTCTTGGGGGGTGGGGTCTCACCAGGGTCCTTCAGACCAGTAAACATGGTCTTTTTTTTTTTTTTTTTTTAATTATTTTTTGCATTTAGTCCCACATTGTTCTCTCACTCTATCCAGGATCTCCTACACTGATCCCTTTGCAAGTGGTTGACAGTGGTAGTCAGGCACCATTTAGTTCTTCTGGTCTTATGATCATATAGGCTGAGGTTTGCATGGTCTACTATTCCTTGGTCTAATTGTTTCCGTGTACCTTTGGTTTCCTTCATTCTTCTTTGTTGTGGATGAGGAGAGACCCTTTGTTGCATCTGTATAGCCACTTGTAAGCTTTTAAGAGCCCAGTGGCTACTTAACCAAAGTAGGATATAGGACGTTTTTATGTAGTATGTTATGCCAATTGAGCTTGTTGTCCTCTGCAACCATGGTCTTGAGCCCAAAGGTCCAACTACTCGCTCCCTCGGGGTGGTTGGCAGTGACTAAGAAATTACCATAACTTTGTACCCTGTCAGTGCTATTTATTATATATATGGACATTGGGGTCAGAACCAATTTTACAGCAACTACAACAGTAACAACAGCAGGTTGATGTTTGGAGCTTTGTGCTCAGTGAACTCTTTATGAAAAGTCAAGGAGGGAAGAAGCAAAGGAAGTGCTTGGTATGGTTATGGTTCAGAATGAACAGTGGATTAGGAATGAATCAAGAAACCTAATCCCTGATATCCTGCCAATTTAGCAATGGGAACCTCCAAATCAAAACCAAACTCACTCCCTGCCATCGAGTCAGATCCAACTCATAGCGACCCCTTCTTGGGTTTCTGAGGCAGTATCACTACAGAAGTAGATTGCCCAACCTTCCTTCCGAGGAATGGCTGGTGAGTTTGAATTGCCAGCCTTCTGGTTACGCCACTAGAGCTCCAGTGCCATCTAATCAGCCTTTCTCAAAGTAGGAAACTCATCTCTCCAGGGCTTCTTGGTTAGAGTCATCATAGCTCTCTTGGAGAGTCATGGTCCCTATTTACATGTTAAACCAAAAAAAAAAAAAAAACGGTGCAGAGTTGGATCTGACTCATAGCAACCCCTCCTTGGGTTTCTGAAGCGGTATCACTATGGAAGTAGATTGCCCACCCTTCCTTACAGCAGAGAAACTTGTTTGACTTTATTAAACTCAACATTTCCCAGACTTTTTTGACCCCAGAACACCTAAGAATAGCATGTCATCCTTGTTTACCCAGACCAATTTCAATTTTATATCTGTCATCCCAGCAGTTATTGATGACACCTCCTTCCACTCTCACTAATGTCCATATGTAGATGATAAATTATATGGTCACGTTACCTACTAATATCCCACAATACTGATATTCTGCAGAATATTTTAGGAAATGTGGATCAAGGTTTAAAAGTTGTTGTGTTGTTATCTGCCGTTGAGGACCCCTCCTTGAGTTTCTGAGGCGGTATCATTATGGATAGTAGATTGCCCAACCTTCCCTTCCGAGGAGTGGCTGGTGGGTTTGAACTGCCAGCCTTGTGGTTAGCAGTCAAGTGCCTTAGGCACTACGCTACCAGAGCTCCTGTTTAGAAGTTAGATTTTGCCTTTTGCTGTACATCTCACTTTTCCATGAAGTCATTCTAGGTTTTATGGTCTCTTACTGGGAACAAAAAGCATTTTGTCTACGCCAGTTAGCTGTTATTCAAATGATGTCACCATGTTACTTTACTGGTGTATTATTCACTTTATTTGTCTGTGTTTTGCTACCTCGAGATTCAAAACCCCAAGAGGGCAAGGACAATGCTTTACTTAACACATGCTCTGCACTCCTCCTCCAGTACCCTTTCTGCCTCATCAACCACAATGCTTTGTGGTATCAAGTCCTTGAGGGATATTTAGCCAGCATCATAGGGCAATATGCATTGGTACAAACATTCTGGTGGGCACACTGACAGTATCTGAAGTTCAAAAAATAAAAAGGGAAAGAAGCTGAAAGGAAGGAAGGAAAAGCATACAGATATTCATACGTTGTTGTTGTTGTGTTATTTGCCATCAAGTCGGACCTGACTCATAGTGACCCCTCATGGAGTTTCTGAGGCAGTATCACTACGGAAGTAGATCACCAATCTTCCTTCTGAAGAGTGGCTGGTGGGTTTGAACCACCAGCCTTCTGGTTAGTAGTCAAGTGCCTTAGGCACTACACCACCAGAACTCCTAAATATTCATACAGTATTTTTAAAATCATAGTAAAACATTTGACTAGCCTAAACGCCCACTGTAGGGAATTGATTAAATAGATTATAATACTTACAATATTTCAATACCATGAAATGGATTGAGCAGCTCAAAATACTAAGTAAATCTGTATAAATTGGCATGGAAATATGTCCACAGTCTAGTCAATGGGGAAAAAAAAATGTTTAAAAATGTTTCACCAAGATGTGTAGGTAGTTTCCCTTTGTTGTAATAGCCGTATATAAAACCTTTGTCTATCTATATTTGTAATCTGCATTGTTCTTTCCAATGACTGCTTAAGATTCCACTGAATCTGTCATATTAAATGCTTGGCCCATTTTCAGAATTTTCCTTCAGGCTGAAAACAATCCTCAGGAGCATTTTGTTGGCACTTTTGCTTTGTGACAACTGACACTTTTTATCTCCCCACCTAGACTGGGACATAGTTTTTTTTTTTTTTATTGGAATAAGCAAACACTCTGGTAGCATTGTGCCTAAGACATCTGACTACTAACCAGAAGGCTAGAGGTTCAAACCCACTAGCCACTCCTTGGAAGGAAGACTGGGCGATCTACGTCCTTAGTGATATCCTCCTCATGAATCCAAGGAGGGGTCACTATGAGTTGGGTCTGACTTGACAGCGGTAAGATTGATTGTTTTTTTTTTTTTTTTGGGAGGCAAACACTTCATCTGAAATATATCTATATCCCCACACAGGTATGGCACATAGTAACATTAATAAATATTATTTGAGTAATAAATATTATTTGAGTGACTAGATGTATGATTGTATGATTGAGGGCATTTTCTGTTGTAGACAGTGCTGTTGTAAGTACTTTTAAATTACTTTTTCTTCCATTATACTTTCTTAGTCTTGTTTCCTGCCATTCATGCTGTCAGTAAATATTTACTGAGTGACTACTTGTGCTAAACACAGAGAGCTAAACTGTACCAGGTATAGGGAACACAGGTTCAGACAACATACAGCAGCTATCTGCCCTTGTGGGGCTTACATCTAGAAGTAGAACTGTTGCTCTAAGTGTGCGTTCATTTTACACAAGCCATTTTTCTTTCTTTCCTTTCAACTTCCCTGCTTCCTTACTTAGACATCCTGTTTGCAAGCTGCCCACAGTATAATCATCTTTGGGGTTAATTCTTTTTTTTGAAGTTCAAACATGCATTTCTTGGAATAATGAACCAAGAAGTCCCAAAGCACAGAAAAAGAATTAAGCTATAACCATGTACCCAAACCCTAAGAACTAGTGATCTATGATCCTATACCTAGAAAACCCAAGAGATTCAATCAAAAAACTACTGGAACTAATTGAGGGATTTAGCAACGTCGCAGGATATAGGATCAACATCCAAAAATCAGTTGGATTCCTCTACACCAGCAAAGAGATTGCTGAAAAAGAAATAAGAAAATCAATACCGTTCTCAATAG